TTTTTCATTTTAATATGTATCTATATATTGGTTCAGAGGAACTTTTCAAGTATTTTGTAACCAACAGAGTTGTCATATAGTGCTAAATTTGTTGGTGTCTATAAAAAAAGAATCATTTAAAAAAAAAAGTAAGACGTAACCAGTTTAGTAGCCCCGCATTTACCTTTAGCAATGTATATAATATATATCTTTAAATCCGCAAGGCTGTTTTGGTGCAACATAAAGGTAGAGCCTGAAACTTTGCATAAATTGTAAATCTCTTAAATCAGCTCTTTCTAAACAAACTAAAATTACACCAAATAAAAAAGTCTTAGCATCCCCCTGATTACTAAGAAAAGTCAAAAATTCCCACAAAATGGTATTTTTCATAAAATATTTTGTAGCATGCAAGATAAACATTTTCAAAATTCTGCATGTGCTAATACTCAAGCAGCCAAAACATTACAGAGAACAGCATGATACAAGTTGAAATCCACAGCTTGTCATCTTACCTCCTTGCCAGTGTTGACATAAATGCAATATATTCAAATATACAATATATTAATGGCACAGGGCTGTGAAATCTGCTATGCATGAAATTAACCCATTCCCAGGAGGTTAGCGTGTATAGCCTAAAAAGGATTTAAATATTATTGCTTTTATGTTTTGCCTAAGTATAAATTGTTATTAAAATGCTAAGGCATGTGATAACTTCAGAAGTTATTAAACAGCAGTGAAAGCACCTCCTGGCAATACTCAGGTCTATACTGGAGTAGGTAAAGGAGAAAGTGCCCAGGAAGGTTAGCTTCAAGCCATTTGAGAGCAGTCATTAGCCAATAACCAAATTATCTGTACCAAAGATGGATTTTATATTATTTTCTCCCTGTGGCTAATACCACCCATCTGCTCTCTAAATAATGGAGTTGTGTTAATTGTTCATTTCTACTCTTTCAGGGGGTTTTAGATTGTTTTTGAACTAGTTCCAGTACATCAAATATAAAAAAAAAAATCATATGAGGGCACATTAAATCACATATACATATATTACGCTATTTGTGTTATATATTTACAGAGATTTGATAATAATGTATCTGTCAGCAAAAAGTCTATATTAGCTGTAGGAATAAAATGTATTTTGATGATTGTCTTGGAAAGCACATCTATGCACATTGCATTTCAAGATAGTGCATTACATTACAGACATGAAAATGTTAATAAACTATATACTGTGTATCCATCGCATTAGGTACTTGATATATTTTGAAGTGTTAGCTACAATGCTAATATTAATAAGGTACTTTCGTAAAAAAAGTTTTACAAGTAATGTGCATGGAATATATTTTTTATAAAGTGTCAAATTACGGTTTGTGGTATATAGTAATGTTATGAAACAGTATATGTTGCATTAGTTCAAATGCTACAGACTTTCAAACATCCATATTTAAAAAAGCAGTATGGCAGTGCTATTATTTCCTACTCAGTAACTTGAGATAAGTGCATTTTAAAAATGAGTCTAAAATAAAAGCATATAGATAGATAGATGATAGATAGATAGATAGATAGATAGATAGATAGATAGATAGATAGATAGATAGATAGATAGATAGATAGAAACAGAAAAACAGATATAGATAGATAGATAGATAGATAGATAGATAGATAGATAGATAGATAGATAGATATAGATAGATAGATAGATACCACTGTGTTAGAAATGACTTAAAGGTATATTTTAGCATATGTGAGCGTATAAAAGTATGCCGCTTTATTATGTCTTATTAATATTAAAATGAAATCATGATTTATTTATAAATATTTTATTTAAAAGAGTATGTACTGTGTATATATATATATATATATATATATATATATATATATTTTTTTTTTTTTTTTTTTAATTTATCTTTTTTTCCTATCTATCATCTATCTATCTATCTATCTATCTATCTATCTATCTATCTATCTATCCCTTTGTATTTATATCTTTTTAAATAGTGCACTGTTTAATACTAATAATAACAGCAATAATAAAAACAGAAAAAAACTAGCAACAACTGCAACAATGCCTGCCCTTTATAAAGAAGTGTGTTTTATTTTTATAGTAACTCCCTTAACCTGTAGCCACCTGTACAGTCACAAGATTTTAGTGCTTATGACTGTACAGGTGTAGGATGAAGGAAGCCTTCCTCCTACACTTGTCCACAAAAATGCTACAATGTATGTAGCTCAATTCACTGACATAGAAGCAACAATGACTGTTTTTATGAAGCAAATGGAACCATGATCGTGTACCTCCTAAAGGATACATGATTTCAACACAGTAGGGTCAAGAGGAGGCCATCTAAAATAAAAGGAGACAAACATTTTTGCAGCAGGAAACATAACATAGGAAGTCATTAATTTAGCACAGGTGATGAAAAAGAAAATCACATAATAAGCAAAATTCACACAAATAAAAAATATATGGAACTTAGAAGACACCAACCTATTTTTTTGCAGGCCAAAAAAAAAGAAAAGGGCTTGGTAAGGTCAATAGATTTTGCATAACATTAAAAAGAAAAGATATATATATATATATATATATATATATATATATATATATATATATATATATATATAAATATATAAGATTCACCAGCATTTTGCGAGTTAAAAACATGTATATGACTTGGTAATTCAACCCCACAACAATAAACGAATTTAAGGCGATGTAAGAGCAATCTGGTACTTCATCAAAAGATTCTTCGCCATGTGATCATAATTTGAAAAGATTGCAATTCCCATTTCTAATCCAAAGGATAACTTTTATGCTATAGAGTTTGTAATGCCAGTAACAGAAGTGCTTCCTCATAAACTGCATAGGTAGGCTACTGAAAACTTTTCCCAGTAAAAACAAAAAAAGTACTTCAAAGGTACATTACACCTGCTGTTAAAAAACACTACCATATGGTCAAAGCATTGTAATCCAGTTAGCAAACAAAGTTTCATCAAATACATCATCAACTTAATCCAAAACAAAATCTAAAAACCTAGGAGGGAAAAAAAAAAAAAAAAAAAAAAAAAAAATAAAATATATATATATATATATATATATAAAATTTAAATAAAGATGCCTATAGCTTATATGACTTATGGCTTAAGGAAGCATTACAGATCAGGAAAGAGGAACATAAGATAATTTCCCTATTAACAGATATTTCACTTTAATGGAACCCAAGATATATATATATATATATATATATATATATATATATATATATATATATATATATATTTAGTTAGTTATGAAGGTTTGTGGCTTTATTTTAAATATGTTTAAAAATTATTATGTTACTATTCCCCAATTGACACAATTTTACAATATAAAAAATACTATTAACCGATACTACAATCCACCATATATTATTTACATATTTGTGTTTATGAGTTTGTAGGAAGGCTGCATATTATCAAAATCAGGAAAGACTGACTTCTGATATGTTATCTTCGAGCTATTGTGGGTTGTTGGCACCATCAATTATGCTGAGGCAGCAAAGGAGACTTTTTTACAATACATATGCATTTATTCGAAATATTATTAAGACATTCTTGTTTTTGATTTTAAATTCAAAAGTCAACACTCTGGTTGTTTCCATATATATATTTACATAGTTATATAAAAAAGACACAAGGCTTTCTTAAAGGAATTTCTTTTTTTTATGTAAGTAATACAATATTACTTTAACATAAATATAAAAAGTAAATTGCAAATCTACATTTGTAAAAGTTACAAACAGAATTCACCAAACCGAAAAAAAATATATTGCAAAGTATATTACACAGCCAAAAAAAAATGTGAAAATAAATAGAAAGGGCAGGTTTATCTGGAAATAATATTAAAATATTCTCTTAAAATTAGTAATTGTACAAAAGTGTGTAGAATGAAAACAGAACGAAAAAAAAAATACACAAATTTCAAAAACATACATATGTATACATATAACACATATTTACAATGTTAAGTCAATGTTAAGTAAAAAAAAACATTTCTCCTCTTTTTTTAGTTTATTTGCTTTATAATGGAATATGTAAGTCTCCTTTGATCTTTGTTTTCTAAATAGTTCCCCTTTTGTAGAGTATACACCATATACTTTTTTTTTAGCTTTTACAGAGCTAGGCAATTGTCTGAGGTTTTGTAATCCTTTAATCTATTAAAGCATATGGATACAGTAAAATAATGTATCTTTAGTGGCAGTATGAAAAAGACTTAATATTAAACAGCGAACTGGCATTCTGACCTTACAAGTCATAGTATAACTATGCCAATTAATAAGGATCCTAAATAATGTATGCATCTCATTAATTAATGCATAGCAACATCACTTTGCTGCTTGTCCCAGGATGTACTTTTTGGTATAAATAGGGTATTTGCCAATGACTTTGAAAACATACACATAATACCAAAAATAACAAATAAAAAAACAATTAAATAAAACTTTGGATATTTAATTTAATTTTTTTTTTAAAAAAGAAACTTTGTGGATCTGAATAAATAAGTGTAACTTTTATTTTTTTTTTGTGTAAAACAACAGGGGTTTATAGCATCCACTTCCATGCCAGAGATATTTCCCTTGTACTGCACTTCAGGAGCTAAATAGTCTAATTAATAAATAACACACATTTCCATTCAAAGCTGCCAACAAATTTGTGAGAATGAGAATTTACATTAATAATAAAAATATTCACAGTTCTTATAATCTGCCTCTATCCCACAATATTCTGAATCAATAAATTACTTCCCTCCCCTTCTCCTTTTTTTTTTTTTTTACCTTCAAGAAGAAACAAGATTATTAAATGAGCTGAGGTGTACCCAAAAAAAAAAAAAGGTTTGGGAAAAGGGATTTTTATGGTGGTGTCTTAATTTATTCTTCTGGCCAAAGGTACTCCAGTCTCTTTCTAGGGGTCCTGTTACAATTTTTTCTTTTGTAAAATCCAAAAGTACTTACTTCATCCCCCACATCCTCCCTTTATAGATTTCTTAGTCATTGTACAGAGGTCTGCAGCGTGTGATGGAGTGGAGGGGTCTCTGCTTGTGAATACACATCCTCCATGGGGGGGTGAGGGACCCCTGCTGGGGTCATCCTTTTCTCTTTCTGCCTTCTGTTGCAAAACCAAACTCTCACCACCTCCTTCTCCAACTGGAGACTGTCTGCCAGGCTGGTGATCTCATGGGCTGAGGGTTTAGGACACTTTAGGAAATGGTTCTCCAGGGCTCCCTTCACCCCAACTTCTATGGAGGTCCTCTTCTTCCTTTTCCTGCCTTGGGCTGCGATCTTGTCTAGGTTGGTGGGGCTCCCTGTGGTGGAATCGGTCTCCTCTAGCCATTTGTTCAACAGGGGCTTCAGTTTACACATGTTCTTGAAACTCAGCTGCAAAGCTTCAAACCTGCAGATGGTGGTTTGGGAGAAAACATTGCCGTACAAGGTGCCCAGGGCCAAGCCAACGTCTGCTTGGGTGAAGCCCAGCTTGATCCTCCTCTGTTTGAATTGCTTGGCAAACTGTTCCAGGTCATCGGAGCTGGGGGCGTCTTCATCGGAGTGGTCCTGATGGTGGTTGAGATGCTGGGGAGGCGACTCGACATGGGTGTCGTGGACTCCTGGGTCATCGTGTAAGGGGTCCCTCATGCTGTGGTGTAGGGAGGAAGCCTGGGGCCCCAGCATGCCGTTCAGATTCGTGTAGGAGGACTGCGAGTAGAGGAGAGGCTGGTGGCTGTTGGAGCTGGGGGACATCGGAGACAGGTGGTGGCTTCCTCCTTGCGCCCAGGCGTGAGTGCTGGGAGTCTGTTGGTGGACCAGGTGCGACCTGTGGTGGTGGAAACTGGTGCTGAGGTCCTCTCTGCTGTTCTGCACCCCACCTTTGTGGTCTGCTTGCCCGGCCAGGTGAGAACCGCTCCCCCAGTCACTGGTGGGATTGGGCAACCACTGGTGATGAGTGAGGCTCATGGGGTGGCCGGCGTTAGTGGCTAAGCCTTGAAGGTACTCTTGGTGCATCATCTTCTGCACCTCTCTGTAGGTGGTACCTTGGTGCATCCTATCGGAGTCCGGATGCATCAGAGGATTGGAAGGCAATGTGTTATTCCTGGGCAGATACTGAGCAGTTGCAGCCATGGCTCCTACTCCTTAACTGGCTGCAACTTCCTCGCTTTCTGGGCTTTAGAACCAAGCTCCAGCCCTGTGGAGAGAGCTCGTGCGAGAGGCACCGCCCACCGCCTCCCCGATTGGCTCCCGCCCCTCTGATTGACACGCCGGGCTCACCCCTCTCACTTTCCATTGGTTTCCAACCTCCCCGCCATTGGCTCCCCTCGACATATTGACTCGGGAGCGCTCTCTCCCATTGGCCGAGCGCTTTCATTCATGCTGTTTTGCAAACAACCACGTGGGGGAGTAAGGAGTGTATTTTTTGCAGTTTACATAGAAATCTTGTAAATAGTACATTGCCATTTTTACATTGGACTGCATGCCTGGGAGATGGGCAGGTTTGGCTGGAATTATGCATTATTAATTCCTCTTATTATGATACTTGATCAGCGCTAATTGAGAGTATTCAATGAAAAAAAAAAGAAGAAGAAGGGAAGGGGGGTGTCCTGGCACGACGATAATTACGTATGATCTCATCTGGGGTTTTACAAGATTAAAGGGGGGGTCAGGATTAGATGATCTGCAGCCAGCATGTACACGTTCCAATGAACATTAAACCAATAACGAGGGATCAATCCGTACAGGACTCAGGACAACCTGGTAGGTACGGCCGATCTGCTTTATTTTCCTTTACAAGTCTGCAGTCCGAACTAGAACTTCCACTAACGCTGTCATCCTCATCACACGATCGCATCGTTCATCCCAAACCTGCTGCGATCATCCCATTGATCATCCTCCTGCTGCCGGTGTCACCCAGATAATCATCCTGCACCCAGCAATGGGATCTGGAGTGGATCATCATCCTACAGCCGGTGTCACCCCAGATCCCTGATAATTTTCAGCAGATGGGATCTTCCTGCAGCCGGTGTCACCCCAGATCCATGATCATTGTAAGCAAGGGATCATCCTGCAGCCGGTGTCACCCCAGATCCTTGATCATTGTAAGGGATCATCCTGCAGCCGGTGTCACCCCAGATCCTTGATCATTGTAAGGGATCATCCTGCAGCCGGTGTCACCCCAGATCCTTGATCATTGTCAGGCATGGGATCATCCTGCTGCCGATGTCACCCAGATAATCATCCTGCACCCAGCAATGGGATCTGGAGTGGATCATCATCCTACAGCCGGTGTCACCCCAGATCCCTGATAATTTTCAGCAATGGGATCTTCCTGCAGCCGGTGTCACCCCAGATCCATGATCATTGTCAGGCATGGAATCATCCTGCAGGCGGTGTCACCCCAGATCCTTGATCATTGTAAGGGATCATCCTGCAGCCGGTGTCACCCCCAGGGATCTTCCTCCTTGATCATTGTATGGGGTCATCCTGCAGCCGGTGTCACCCCAGATCCCTGATCATTGTCAGCCATGGGATCATCCTGCAGCCGGTGTCACCTCAGATCCCTGATCATTGTCATCCTGCAGCCGGTGTCACCCCAGGACTGTTTCAGCAAAGGGATCTGGATCACCATCCTGCAGGCAGATCCCAGATCATTGTCAGGCATGGGATGTGAAGTATCATCCTGCACCCGGTGTTCCCCCCAGATCGCATATAATTGTCAGCAATGGGATGTGGATCATCATTCTGCAGCCAGTGTCACCCCAGATCATTAGGGATCATAATTCTGCCGCCATATCCCAAATCATTGTCAGGCATGGGATGTGGAGCACCACCCGGCACCCAGATCCCATATAATTGTCACCAATGGGATGTGGATGATCATCCTGCATCCGGTGTCACCTCGGATCCCAAATAATTGTTAGCAATGTGATGGGGATCATCATTCCGCACCCAGATCCCATATAGTTGTCAGTAATTTGTTGTGGATCATCATCCCGCACCCAGATCCCATATGGTTGTCAGTAATTTGTTGTGGATCATCTCGCACCCAGATCCCATATAGTTGTCAGTAAATTGTTGTGGATCATCATCATCCTGTACCCAGATCCCATATAGTTGTCAGTACTTTGTTGCGGATCATCATCCTGCACCCAGATCCCATATAGTTGTCAGTAAATTGTTGCGGATCATCATCCTGCACCCAGATCCCATATAGTTGTCAGTAAATTGTTGCGGATCATCATCCTGCACCCAGATCTCATATAGTTGTCAGTAAATTTGTTGCGGATCATCATCCTGCACCCAGATCTCATATAGTTGTCAGTAATTTGTTGCGGATCATCATCCGCACCCAGATCTCATATAGTTGTCAGTAATTTAATGTGGACCATCATCCTGCACCCAGATCCTATATAGTTGCCAGTAATTTAATGTGGATCATCATCCTGCACCCAGATCCCATATAGTTGTCAGCAATGAGATGGGGTATAGGGATAATCGTTCTGCACCCAGATCCCATATAGTTGTAAGTAACTTGTTGTGGACCGTCATTCTGCAACCAGATCCCATATAATTGTCAGCATGGGATGGGGGTCCTTATTCTGCACCCACTTCCCATTTAATTGTCAGTAATTTGTTGTGGATGATCATCCTGGACCCAGATCCCATATAGTTGTCAGCAATTAGATGGGGATCATCGTCTTGCACCCAGATCTCATATAGTTGTCAGTAACTTGTTGTGGATCATCATCCAGCACCCAGATCCCATATAACTGTCATCAATGGGATGGGGATCATCATCCTGCACTCCGATCTCATATAGTTGTCAGTAACTCGTGGATCATCATTCCTGCACCCAGATCCCATATAGTTGTCAGTAATTTGTTGTGGATCATCATCCCGCACCCAGATCCCATATAATTGTCATCAATTGGATGGTGATCATCATCCTGCACCCACATCTCATATAGTTGTCAGTAATTTGTTGCGGATCATCATCCTGCACCCAGATCCCATATAATTGTCATCAATTGGATGGTGATCATCATCCTGCACCCACATCTCATATAGTTGTCAGTAATTTGTTGCGGATCATCATCCTGCACCCAGATCTCATATAGTTGTCAGTAATTTGTTGAGGATCATCATCCTGCACCCAGATCTCATATAGTTGTCATCAATTTGATGGTGAGGATCATCATCCTGCACCCACATCTCATATAGTTGTCAGTCAATTTGGATGGTGATCATCATCCTGCACCCAGATCTCATATAGTTGTCAGTAATTTGTTGTGGAATCATCATCCCGCACCCAGATCCCATATAATTGTCATCAATTGGATGGTGATCATCATCCTGCACCCAGATCCCATATAGTTGTCAGCAATGGGATGGGGATCATCATCCTGCACCCAGATCCCATATAATTGCCAGTAATTTGATGTGGATCATCATCCTGCACTAAGATCCCAAATCATAGTCAGGCATGGGATGTGGGAGATCATCCTGCACCCGGTGTCACCCCAGATCATTGCTAGCAATAAGATGGGGATCATCATCCTGTAGCCAGGACCCTAGATCATTGTCAAGCATGGGATGTGGGTGATGATCCTGCGCCCAGTGTCACCCCAGATCCCAGGTCAGAGTCTGGCATGCTGCTACTATTGACTAAGCGGTTGGGGATGTTTGTTTAGCGCAGGGCACTGCCATGTATATCTGTAATGACAACCCTGCGTACCTGTGATCACACAGCACTGTTTGTCTTGCAGCAGGTGAATAGCAGACGGCAGCCAATAGCTGATCGGAGCTGGCCCTGTTGGAAAACTTCAGAGAAGCAGCACAAATGAAATATTCTGCTTTCTAATGAGGCATAGCCTGATGATCTAATGAAAGAAGAGGCTGCTCCTGACAGTATTTGAAATACTAGAAGAATAACCATTATTTCCAAACGCTGGGAGCCTTTGCTTTCCCCTCCCTTCCACTGCCTCCCCCCTTAAAAAAAAGTCTTTAAATCAAAATAATGTAATTACAAAGGCACTGAAACAACCGCAACTAATTATTTTGAATTAAATTTTAATCCTGCTGCATCTATCAAGGCATGAAAAAAAACAAACAAAAAAAACAGAACAAAAAAAAAAAAAAAAACTGTTTACTAGGCTGGGTGTTATTTAAGAAATAAAACTGCATTTTGTGCCTTTCAAAGTCAATTAGATAGTGATGGCCATTTCTCTCGTTTTCCTCTCTGCCTGTGTGCTCTGATTTCTGATTGTTTTTCTGTTCACGTTTTGCCCTAACTGCAAATTACCAGTTGTATGAATTGCAGAGCAGCTGCCATGAACAGAGCAGAAAGGGAGCTGAGCACACACACACAATCACATCCCTTATGTACATTCCCAGCGCATTCACACCCTCTGCCTACAGAGACTACTGGACCCACTACTCAGCTCATCCCCTTCCAGCTCTGACCACTACTTCCAACACACTCCTACTAAACAATGTCACTTTTATGTCATCACCTCAGGAGCAGCACAGCAACTTGCTAAAGGTGAGTCATTGCCTTAAAAAAAAAAAATCCTTAAAGCTTAATGATTATTATTTTGTAGCAACTGGTTTTATACTGATTCGGTCATTATTTGTTGTAGTAGTATTTAATTTATTCTTTGGATGCGCTTGTGATATTTATTTAAACTGAGCCCTTTTTATTTTAAACAGGAGGATCAAATTTTGTATTTATTTGATCCAACATTTAATTTATCCAATAATATTTTTATTTACACTCTATATAATCTATCTATCCATCTATTACAGCAATTATAAACATGTATATATGTATGTATAAAAATGTATTGTATGATATATATATATATATATATATATATATAATGTATAAATAGAAATGTATTGTATGTTGCATATATATATATATATTTTTATATATATATAGTATATATATTGTAATCATAAATATGTATGTAGAAAAATGTATTGAATTATATATATATATATATATATATATATATATACTATATTATTTAAATGCAGTAGTTAATAAAACAAGTGGAGTATTAACATATATTTAGATTTTTACTAAACTTTGAAAGTTTGCTCTGCCCTTAAAGTGGACTAAAGTG